TTTTTTAGGGTTTTGGGTTTAGCATTGTTTAGGTTTTAGGCTTTTTAGGGTTTAGCGTTTACAGTTTAGGGTTTACAGATTTTTAGGATTTAGGGTTCAGGGTTTTTTGTGTTTACGATTTTTTAGGGTTTAGTGTTTAGGGTTTTAGGTTTTAGGTTTAGCATTTAAGGTTTAGGGTTTAGTGCTTAGGGTTTTTTATGCTTTTCAGTTTGGGGTTTTGAGTTTTTTCGTAATTTATGTTTTTTGGGTTTTAGGGTGTAAGGTATTTTAGGTTTTAGGGTTTACGATGTAGGGTTTTTTAGGGTTTACGGTTTTTTAGGGTTTAGTGTTTGGGGTTTGGGGCTTAGGGTTTTTTAGGCTTTAAAGTTTAGGGTTTCAAGTTCTTCAGGATTCAAGGTTTAGTGTTTAGGGTTTTTTAGGTTTACTGTTTTTTATGGGTTAGTGTTAAGATATTTTAGGGTTTAGCGTTGTTTAGGGTTTTGGGTTTTTTAGGGATTAGGGTTTAGTGCTTAGGGTTTTTTAGGATTTAGGGTTTAGGGTTTTTTAGGGTTTAGGGTTTAGGGTTTCCCGGGCATATTCCACGTCACTCTTTCATTCTCTGGCTCGCTTTTCTTGGTCGGCTTCACACCATGGACCGGCTCAGTTCTCATGGTGTCACTACATCCTCCCAGTGTGTTTTGTGCAGATCAGCTACAGAGACCCATGACCATTTGTTTTTCAGTTGTGACTTTTCTAGTTTTGTTTGGCGGGAGGTCAGTACCAGGACGCTCTCTACATGGCCTACTCTCCTCTGGCTCCATCTGCTTCAGTGGGCGAGCTTGCATCTTCGACGAAAAGGTGACTTCAGCCACCTTCTTTCCCGGTTGGTCCTTTCAGCCACAGTTTATTTCCTATGGTTTGAACAAAATAATAGTGTGTTTCGTCAGCATTGTAGCTCTCGCAGAGATATTGTCTTAGCTATTTGTGATCTAATTCGGGCAAAGATTTTGGGTCTAGCACCTAAGTACGAGATCTCAACTCAGCTCCGTGTGATATGGCATCTTCCTGATTAGCTTTGGAAGTAGCCTGCGTACTCTTTTGTGCCGGTTTGTGGCTTTGTGTTTGTGGTGAGCCTGCATGCTCTTTTATGCCGATTTGTGGCTTTGTTATTTATGGCATCTTCTTGCTTTGTGGGGAGCCTGCATGCTCTCTTTATGTTGTTTGTGACTTTGTGGGGTTTCCCATGGGTTTTTGACTGAGAGGTATCAGTCATCCTCTTGGGGTATGCCCCTCGTATTTGTACTTTTTTGGTCTTTTATACATACTTACCTTATCCAAAAAAAAGTTTTTTAGGGTTTAGTGCTTAGGGTTTTTTGTGTTTACAATTTTTTAGGGTTAAGTGTTCATGGTATAGGGTTTTGGGTTTTAGCAGTTTGGGTTTAGGGCTTAGGGTTTTTTAGGCGTTAGTGTTTAGGGTTTCGAGTTTTATAGGATTTAGGGTTTAGGGTTTATAGTTTATTATTTTTTAGGTTTTAGGGCTTAGGATGTAGGGTTTTTTAGGGTTTACGGTTTTTTTAGGGTTTAGTGTTTGGGGTTTGAGGCTTAGGGTTTTTTTGGGTTTAGGGTTTAAGGTTTTTTAGGCTTTAGGGTTTAGCATTTTTTAGGGTTTTGGGTATATTAGGCTTTAGCATTTTTCAGGGTTTACAGTTTTTTATGGTTTAGTGTTTAATATTTAGGGTTTAGTTTTTTTTGTGTTTATGATTTTTTAGGGTTTAGCGTTTATGGTATCGGATTTTGGGTTCAGCGTTTAGGGTTTAGGGTTTAGGCCCTAGGGTGTTTTGGGCTTTAGTGTTTTGGGTCTCGAGCTTTTTAGGATTTAAGGTTTAGGGTTTAGGATTTTTTTGGGCTTACAGTTTAAGGTTTTTTTACGTCTTAGGGTTTAGGGTGTAGGATTTTCTAGGGTTTACTGTTTTTTATGGATTAGTGCTTAGGGTTTAGGGTTTTTTGTGTTTACGATTTTTTAGGTTAAGTGTTTATGGTATAGGATTTTGGGTTTAGCGTTTAGGGTTTAGGGTCAATGGTTTTTTTGGGCTTTAGTATTTAGGGTTTTGAGTTTTTTAGGGTTTAGGATTTTTTTGGGTTTAGGGTTTAAGGTTTTTTAGGTTTTAGGGTTTAGGGTGTAGGATTTTTAGGGTTTACAGTTTTTTAGGGTTTAGTGTTTAGGGTCTAGGGTTCAGAGTTTAGGGTTTTTTATCATTTAAGGTTTAGGGTTTTTTAGGGTTCAAAGTTTAGGGTTTAGGGTTTAAGATTTTATAAGGTTTAGGGCTTAGCATTATTTAGGGTTTTAGGTATAAGGTTTAGGGTTTAGGGTTTTTTATGTTTATGGTTTTTCAGGGTTTTAGTGTTTAGGGTTTAGGGTTGATGTTGTGTCAAACTACGCTAGGCGCCGTGGACGGGGTGTTTGTGTCCTCAACAGAACGGGAGCGGTTACTAATGTGACGTTGAAGCAACTGGCTGCTTTAGCTGAGAGTGTGATAACACTACATAGGCGGTTCGAGATTTTATCCCTCACGAGGACGTCACTACCACCACCGGCGCCACCAGGAGCGGGTGGCTTGACTATATATCTGGCGGGTGGATAGGGACAAGTGGTGGGAGGGAGCGTTGTGGGGCCTTTGACGGCTTCAAGTCCGGTGGTTTTGATAGTGGCATCATTTGCAAATGCAGTTTATGATAGGTTACCACTTGAGGAAGAAGAATCACCGATTTAGCCAGCTGCTTCCCAGTCATCGAGAGTGATAGGTGGTGGAGGGCAATTGGGCGATGGAGGAAACGACGGAAGTAATTCCGGTGGAGGTGTTCCTTTCTATAATTTAGGAGTGACTATGGGAAATTATCCTCCTTTCCCTGGTGATGTTTTTGGTTGGGGTAGTGGCACTGCAGGTGGTAGTACTACAAGGCCACCATTTTAATAGTAAGTTTGAAGAACAGGAGAAGAAAAATAAGGAGAAATCAAATTAAACTTGTCACTGAGAAACGCTGTAGAGATCATAAAGTCCTCTAAAATTAAAGCTAAATGAAGAAATTTTAAATAGGAATACCAAAGATCATGTACATAGGCTTGAAGCTTCTGAATCAGCAAGTTCCAAATTCATATGTACAAAATATTATTCTGACATTTTTAATTTTGTTTATTTTCTGTTGATGATCTATATATATATAGGCTCTGCACCAATGTCTTCTTATTCTTCTACCAGTACCACATTTATACATAACTCTATCATTTTGTATTTTGGTTTTGTAATCCTCTACGCAGTAGTAGTAACAGTAGCTCCACTTTGCATTATGCTGACTAAACGTTACAGAAGAAGAAGAGCTATAGGAAAGGAAAGTTCTAATGTTAGTTACGAAATGGCCTGGTAGAATTGAACACTGTTTCTCAGTCAAATCTCTTTTGTTGTTCAAAAGATTCTAATTAAACAAACAAACCACCATCTTGGGCAGAAAAGAAAAACCCTAATTCCAAAATGCAGGAAAACAGATGTTGGCATTGGAACTATTGAATCAAAACATTGAAACTTGAAAAATTAGTATGCATGGATGGGTTGGGTGGTGCTTTGTCTCTTTTGCTTCTTCAATTTTACTTAGTCATTGCTTTGCTTATGGTTAGCATTACCACTAGGGTAAAATAGTAAAGGGGCCAACATGGGTTCCTAAGTTTGAGTCCCCCAAACACTAATAGGGGTAACCACTAAAGGAATTTATCCGGTCATTCATTCAGGACTTCGAGGGATTAGTTGAGGTGCATGCAAGTTGACTGAACACACCTCTAGTCACCAATATATATATATAATTAATTAGTTGCATTAATAGTGCTCTTCTTAGGTTTTACCTTTTTGTTTCTTAGCCTATTTCTATCTCCTCCCCATTGATATCTCAAATTCACTGTCTTGACTAAAGGAATAGATTAAGAAGTTAGACTTATATAAAATTAAATTCCATGCCATTCATGATCCCTTTACCAATTAATTTTTTAGTAACCATTACTGGGTGGTATGAGGTAAAAGAGCAAAAAATATTTCATAAATCTTATGTTCGAGTCTCTTCAACCACTAATAGGAGGCCATTGGGCAGTTGGGCTTTATCTAGAGACAGTTCCAGGATCTGGGGGATTAGTTGAGGTACGCACAAACGGGCTTAAAACCTCCAATGATAAATAAATAAAATTCTTTTAGTCAAGTAGTGTTATCTGGTATGCCATTAGGCAATAAATTAACTTGTTAATTCCTCTGAATAATATATATTCTTTGATCTCTCAAATAAGCAGTTGCAATGATGTAACACCAAAAATACTACTGTTTAGCAAAATTATATATGCTTGGATTCCACTCGTACGTTTTTTTTTTTTTTTTTTAATCATCGAGGGTGTCCGAACCAGTTTGCCAACATATATATATATTATATCCTTGAATTAATTTTCTTAAATATGGAAATTAGTTAAAAAGCTAATTAACAAGCGTTTTTTATGGCCATGAACAAATGAATATACTTTAATTAATATAGTGGTTGCAATTGAAAATGTTACATGTTACACTTTGTAAAGAAAATAATAATGTAGATGAGTTAGCTATTTTGAGAAAGACAAGGGCAGAAAAAAAAGCATGGATTGATCAATGGTGAAAAAAATTTCATGGACGTGGAAGAAAGTGTTGAAATAACTGTCACTGCTTTCAAACAATCTCCTTAAAATTCGTAACAACACAGCCTTGTATCAGACTTGGTCTCTCACCATTAAATCACTTCTTTTCTTTCAATATTATTTCCAATGTGCCTTCCCATTCCGAATTTCGTCCCCGCCCCTAAGAATATGGTGGAACAAGCTTTCATCATCAGCCTGAATCCTGCTTCCATTATGCATCTTCACTTCTGTTCTTCAACCTCCAATTAATTAATCATGCTCTTACATTTTCATCACTCTGCAACAGATAATTGTAATTAACAAACAAACTTTTATTTATACAATGGCTTCTCTAACTTCACAAACGTCAAAGAAGGTAAGAAATGGCGGGAGTTCTAAGGATTCACCCAGCGGTCGCAATTCAACAAGTGGACAAACTGTAAAATTTGCAAGAAGAACTTCAAGTGGGCGGTATGTCAGTCTGTCGAGAGAAGATCTTGATATGTCTGGTGAAATATCAGGAGATTACATGAATTATACTGTCCACATTCCTCCAACTCCTGACAACCAGCCCATGGATTCCTCTGTGGCTGTCAAGGCTGAAGAGCAATACGTTTCTAATTCTCTTTTTACAGGCGGATTCAATAGCGTTACGCGTGCACATCTCATGGACAAGGTGATTGAGTCCGAGGTCACTCATCCTCAGATGGCTGGAGCCAAAGGTTCTTCTTGTTCCATGCCTGCTTGTGATGGCAAGGCCATGAAGGATGAGAGAGGAGCTGATATTGTTCCTTGTGAATGCCGGTATTAATTCATTTGATTAACAAAGTTTATCAGGTTCAGCACAATAGTCTTTCATAATAATAATGATAAAATTGTTTCTTTTCCAGGTTCAAAATATGCAGAGATTGTTACCTGGATGCACAAAAGGAAAATGGGCTGTGTCCGGGTTGCAAGGAGCCTCATACGTTTTACATCCTGCTGTATTTGGGTTGGTCTTTCTGTCTGAATTTGGGCTTGGTTTATGTAACACGTGAAGATGCCTCTTATAGAGCTTAATACCTTTCTCAACTTAAGCTTTTAGGTGAAGTTGTTTATCAACAAAATTGTTTTTGAAATTTCGTTGTAATTTCAATTTCTTGTGGTCTTTTGTGCTTTTAATATAAGTAATCAGTTTATGCATGCTTAAATGTTTTGTACATAAATAATATTTGTATACAGGAGATTAAATTAATAGTAATCATTTTGATTAAGCATTATTGAAGTTATAAAAGTAGTTGTGTTCTAGATTGACGTAAGAAAATTTTAATCAATAAGCAAACACTGATTATAAATGTTTAACGTTAAAATTCATGGATTCCCTTGAAATTAACTTGGCTTTTATGAGCATCGTGGTTAAACATTATTAAAATTATCTCATAAAATTTGTGGTTCATAGGATTAACATAAAAACAAAAAGGAGAAGATGAAAATTTAATCAATAAAAAACAAACGAATGTTAAATAAATACATATTGATCCATCCACTACATTTAATAAGAGAAATTAATTGAAAGAATTAACATGTCAAAACATTGAGAGAAAAGTTCAAGATTATGTTTCACATTTCATTAATTCTCTCGCAGAATATAATACGTTAAAAAATTAGAATAGAAAAGTCTTACACCTATCAAAATTTTCTCTCTTCTAATTGATTCCATCTATTATTGGAAGTATAGTCTAATGAACTTCAAATCCGACTTCGCTACCTCGTGGTGCACCTCTAATAATAGTCTATAATAAACAACATAAAAACTAATCTTATAAATGAAGAATTTTTAACTAGAAAAGGGATATGGACCTAATGTTGTTTGCTACAATACTTTAATCAAATGGTATTGCAAAAATAAAGAAGTTAATGAAGTTCTTAGTCTTTATCAGGAGAAGATTTTAGAAGGAATTAGGCTTAATGTGATTATAAATAACAATTTGTTAACTTGCCTTTTTCTTAAAGCTAATGTAAAATATGCACAGAAATTAGTTGGTGAGATGCAACTTAATGGTTTTACCTTGTTCTTGGACACATATCATTTTTATTGATGGACTTTGCAATAATAGATGTGTTTCGGAAGAAGTGGAAATGTTTCATACTTTAGTAAATATTAAGTTTGCAGTTGACCTTGAAAGCTTGAATTCCCTCTTTGATGGATTGTGTAAAACAGGGATACCCGAAACTGCTTGGTAACTATTTTAGAAATTTCTCTCATTGAAAGCCTAGTGCCTTAGAAATTTTGTAACTATTTTTAGAATTTAGTTTTGATGGATACCATTGTTTCCAAATTTTACATGCAACTAGGGTCATAATAGAGATTACAACGTTATAAGAAGCACATTCATAACAGAAGCTCTTTACTGAGATATGTGTATGTGCGACTGTCTAATCACTTGATATGTGCTGATCATATATGTTAATGTATAGTGCACGTTGTGGATAAGGTAATGTAGAACATTACAATAGTATCATAAAGTGTTAAGGACATCAAGTCAACTCCTTTGAGCTTCACTATAATTAAAGATATTCATTTAAGATTTTTGAAATAATAAATTTTTTCTAGTTATTAATAAACTATTAGTCTGCTATAACATATATCTATAAAATTAATAAATATTTATTAAATTGCCCTGATTCTATTATTTTAACCCTTATAATTTAACAGTAGAGATTTTTATTATTTTATAAATTTGATTATTTTTATTATATTAAACCTCAAGGCTGTCAATATAACTCTATTGTATAATACAAAACTAGTAATTATATTAAACTAACTCTATTGTATAATACAAAATTAGTAATTATATTAAACTATACGTACTATTATTTTAGTAATATAGATATTTCAGCAATATAATTAGCATANGATTTTCATCTTCATGTGATTATAATTCAATCTTCCTAACAGGTAATGCTGAAGCCTCCTAGCGGTGATCCTCTGCTGGGAAGCGCAGATGATGATAAGATCATAGACTTCACAGATGTGGATATACGCCTACCTTTATTTGTGTATATGTCACGTGAGAAACGACCGGGCTATGATCATAACAAGAAAGCTGGTGCCATGAATGCTCTGGTACGAGCATCAGCTATTTTGTCAAACGGACCTTTCATGCTCAACCTTGATTGTGATCACTACATCTATAACTGCAAAGCCGTTCGTGAAGGAATGTGCTTTATGATGGACAGAGGTGGTGAAAATATCTGCTACATTCAGTTTCCACAGAGATTTGAAGGCATTGATCCTTCTGATCGATATGCTAATCATAATACTGTTTTCTTTGATGGCAATATGCGTGCCCTGGATGGTGTGCAGGTAGATAACATATATTTCTTTTCATTTTGGTGTCTCTTTAACATTTAAAGATCATTTACCAAGTAATAACTCTTCACTCTCAGGGTCCTGTGTATGTGGGAACGGGGACCATGTTTAGGCGATTTGCACTGTATGGATTTGACCCACCAAATCCTAACAAGACGCCTCAAAATAACTCCACCGAGATGCATGCCTTGAGTCCCACAGACTTCGACTCCACTCTTGATGTGAATCTACTTCCCAAGCGATTTGGAAATTCTACAATGCTGGCTGAATCTATTCCCATTGCAGAGTTTCAAGGCCGACCTCTCGCTGATCATCCTTCTGTCTCCTATGGACGTCCTCCTGGCGCTCTTAGAATCCCCAGGGACCCCCTTGATGCTACTACAGTTGCTGAAGCAGTCTCTGTCATTTCTTGTTGGTACGTTTCTCTATTTTGAAAACAATTACATAGAACTTCAACTTATGGCCCAAATCTTGAGATTCTTTTTGTAAATGACAGGTACGAGGACAAGACAGAATGGGGTGAGCGAGTGGGTTGGATTTATGGTTCTGTCACAGAAGATGTGGTGACAGGCTACCGTATGCACAACCGTGGATGGCACTCTGTGTATTGTATCACCAAGCGTGATGCATTTCGTGGTTCAGCTCCAATCAATCTTACTGATCGACTCCATCAGGTGCTGCGGTGGGCAACAGGCTCAGTCGAGATTTTTTTCTCCAGAAACAATGCGTTTCTTGCCTCTAGAAGACTCAAGTTCCTGCAGCGCCTGGCTTACCTGAATGTCGGCATCTATCCATTCACTTCAGTGTTCCTCATTGTGTATACCTTCCTCCCTGCACTTTCGCTGCTTTCAGGACACTTCATCGTGAAAACTCTAAATATTGTGTTCTTAGTGTACCTGCTAATTATAACTATTTGTCTGATCGGGCTAGCCATTCTTGAGGTGAAGTGGTCTGGTATAGGATTGGAAGAGTGGTGGAGAAATGAGCAGTTCTGGCTCATCTCTGGAACCAGTGCTCATTTGGCTGCAGTTGTCCAAGGTCTTCTTAAAGTGATGGCAGGGATTGAAATTTCTTTCACATTGACTACCAAATCTTCATCAGACGATGACGAAGACATTTATGCAGACCTATATGTAGTGAAGTGGACTTCCCTGATGATTCCACCAATTGTTATAGCCATGATAAATATAATTGCCATTGTGATAGCATTCTTAAGGCAAATTTATAGCACAGTACCACAGTGGAGTAAGTTCATTGGTGGAGCTTTCTTTAGCTTCTGGGTGTTGGCTCATTTATACCCATTTGCCAAGGGCTTGATGGGCAGAAGAGGGAAGACACCAACAATTGTATTTGTTTGGTCAGGTCTCATTGCTATCACACTTTCCTTGCTCTGGATTTCCATTAGCCCACCTGGAAACGATGCATCAGCTACAGTTGGCGGCACTGGTTTCCAATTCCCATAAACTGGGACCAAATACTGTTTAACTATTTTTTACTTCGTTGCTATACAAAGTCACAGGTGGGGATTCTACAAGATTCTAATGCCTAAAAATGAAGAAGAAGATTTTGCATTCACCATTATTCTTTACCTAATCTATCATGGCTGGCTGTAGGTTAAATGATAGGGTATAAACAAGGTTTTGTTTTAGTACTGTAACTGAAACAATGTTTTAATATATTAGTAATGTGCTATGTGCTTCAAACTACAATTTGATGCTGCAAGTTGTTTACCTTTAGCAGATGAATCACAATAAATGGAGCAGTTTACGATTGAAGAGATGAGGAAAGGAACCATACTTTTTGCTCAGCCACCAGAATTGTTCTGTACATCTGAAATACCAGACTAGCAAATAGCAATAATACTGTACCATTCACTATTTTGTTCTCTGTTCATACTTGCAAAACTTATATGATAACTTAAATCAAAGGCAAGAGGTCAATGCAGTATATACAAAGGAAAATACATTTAACAAACAACTAGAAAGAAGGAAGTTGCAACATGAGTGATACAGGTGTTCTAAAATATAAGTTACTTGTTTATTTCAAACTTATGTTACTGACATACAGAAGCCTAAATGCAATAGAAAGAAGGAATTTGCAGTGAATAGATATAGACTACCTCCCGAAAGGTAAAAGATACAGTGTTCTACATATTTACCTCTCTCCATTGAAAAAGGAAAACCATAATCTTCCATACCTATCCAACTATGATACTCAACTATAAACATAACTAGAAGCATTCATTAAATAAGCTTGACCTTCAACCACCATTGTTGCCTAGTTAAGTATTCTTTCACCGCAAAATCAGACTTGATAATTTGATGTTAGCTTGTTTCATCTTCTTGGAGCCAAGCTGAAGGATAAATCCTTGTATGTGGGGAAAGGGACAACAATTTCCACAATCTACAGATCTGACTGCTCAAATGGGACACGCACAAACAACTGGCCATGCAGAGTAACCACTGCAGATGTTTGATGTGGATCAATTCTGGAAGGTAAGCTAACAACCTATTAAAAAGGCAAAAAATAAATATAATGAGATAAATTGTACATTTTCTATATTTAAAATAAATTTACTAGTCTGAGAATTCCATAAAGTTTCTTTTTTTTTTTTTCCCCCTCTCTTGTGCTCTTTTTCTTCTCGTCATAGAGCAATGTCCATGACAGTTCAAAACTAATGAGAAAAAATCACATCAACCCAAGGACTTCATCTTTCTTGAATTGGTTTAAATTATTATAAGATCAGAATTCAACAAAATCCACCTTGAAACCTCGTTACCATATAAGTACTCCTATAACCAAACCTATTAAGTGGTACACTTTGGAGAGGATAGATAGTAACATAAGTACTTCTGCTATTTTGGGATATCCAACAACTCATTAAAGAGAGAAGAGATCCACGTTACTTTTCAAGTGACCTAAACATGCTGCAAAACCAAAACTACTTCACACCTGCAAGCCACATGCAACTTTGCTTTTTATCTTATCAACCTTGACTAACCTTCTTAAAGGGTGTCACACCCCAGGGATTATCCAGTTGCTCTGGCTGACCAGATATAACCAAGCGTCCTGCTGGATCAGACTGAACATGCACCTGGTTTATAAAAGAGCAGAGTAAAAATAATTCTCAACAGAAGATGGACCATCAAAGCAAAAATTGAGCAGACATTTGTTAAAGAGAGGATTCTACAGGTTTACCAGAAGGTTTCTCCTTGTTTGATTAAATTTTCTACTTAATGTATTAATTTTCTGATAACCAAGAGATTTTCAAGCATGAGCATCTGTTCAAACTCTATAACTTTTAGTAGTTAGGACACCAATGAAATATAATATACAAGGTAGGTGATGTATAGGGAGATTTGAACATCATGAATTTTGTTAAATCCCTTGGAACTGAGAGTACATGAACACTAAAATGTGCATTGTGTTCTGACCTCAGTCAGTCCATTTCAATACGGGCAGGTGAACAGTACCATACCCTTGGCTAAAGCTACACTTTAAAGGGTTAAAACAAGCCGGCAAGAAGACAGCCCACCCAACCTTGACATTTAGGTGGTTGACCAATGTTATAATACAAACAGGTCAACCCTTAAGCTCAAATTCCATGACTCTGAGATCAAGACCAGCCTATGAGAACACAATTTAACCAAATATAAGTTTACAAGCTGGGTTTTTCAAATTTGGTCAACTCAGCAATAGGGTTGATTGTCTATTACTTTTTCTTTTTTTACTCAATCATAACTGGGAGGTGGCAGTGACTTGATCTAGGGCTTTCAGTTTTTGCTGACTTCAGGAATCTTTTTAGAATGTCCTGATCTATTGATTTTGAATTTCTTTTTTTTTCAATTGCCTTGGGTTGTCCTATACATGTCAATCCATACTTCGGAACTCTTGTGCATACTTTTGTAAATGTTTAATCCTTAGTATCACATCAATTTCTGATTTCAGTTAATGAAAAAACAAAAAACAAAACAAAATACAACCAAGCCTATGCATCCATTTAAAGTTTTACCTCCTCTCGTAGAAGCCCAGGAACTAAAGCATATACTTCAAAGCAATCACTCTGCATACAACCAAATTTTCTATGATAGTTATACATCCATCAACTATTATTCACTGGAAAAATATTACACTTTCATAAGAGCAACACTAAACTTACAGTTTTTTGTACATTAATCTTCACCCAATCAGCAGGAGGTCCAATATCAATTACCATCGTATCCGATCTGCCACAAGAATGGCATGAACTCTCTCTAGTCAGAATATAATTTTATTTATTAGAAGTTAAGAAGTGGCCCAAAAAATAATCACTGATCTTAACTGTGAATTTGCTCCTTTCATAGTAGAAACTTGAACGGTACGCTCAACACTAGACGGCTTTTTACGCTTCAGTATACCTGAGTCAATAAAACCAAGTTTTAGGGAGTAATGGACCAACAGAAGAAAAATATACTTTAAAAAATGAGGGACTATATTGATAATTGAGGTTGCTCAAGACGCTGACAGTTGAATTTGTACCTATATTTTTAATCTGTCTATCACTCTTTGGCGTAGAACTTGAGTTCTTTTCCTAGTTAAGAAAAAATATTTTGTTACCTGAAAACAGTTAACAGAGCACTATGGAAGGGGAAGAGGTTTATTCAAACTAAAATGAAAAAGAAAAAGAATAGATTTAACTAATAATTCTTATGTCTCCACAGACCTTGATGATTGGCTGACAAACCTCACCACTACCAAGAAGACGCTTAGAATGCCAACCCTGCATAGCACGAGCTGCAGCATCCCTCCGAGCCCTGCCTGATCCTAAAGCTTGACAGCTAACCGCCTGAGATATTCATAAGAATCATTATAAGTTGCATGACTTTACAGTAAATTAATGCACATGAGCATCATTTTGTACATAATTTAGCACTACCATGTGCAATAACCTATAAAAGCACCAGGAAGCCCACCCGCTAACAATGATTAGCATACCAGCACAATCACCACAAATGCTACATATGGCCCACAAGACCACTGGCAATTCCATTTCCTGGATTATCTTAAATACAGTATATTTGAAACACCAAAATTCAATTCCTTCAGGAAAAAATTGAAGATTGAGAAAACTAGAAGCAACAATGAGAATCTCCAAACCCCAATATACACCTAACATAGATTATTATTCTCATAATTAACTTTATCTTGTTACCCATAAGTTCATCAAGCAAGCTATGTTCAAAATCCACAACCAGTCTAAAGACGCAGCTTAAAAGAATCAACAGAATACAGCAGCAAAATCTTTCCCAAAGCTACCACTTAAAAAGATAGCAACCAAAAGCATAGCCAACATACTCTACACCAACCTACACAAAGAGATGCTTATAACACTAGCAACCACCCCACTGAGATTTTACAGCACAGATCATCTTCCATTGTATTGATCATATTAACATGACTGATTCATCTGACCAACACCAGCTATAAGTTTTCCCAACCGCCCAATTCTTTGTCATATCCCCTCACAAATCGCAATTTCCAACGCACTCCACAATCCATCAGTGCATTTATTTTCCAACAAGAGCATTCCTAAGCACCATGTAAATTATTGTGCGTAGTGGAGATTTAAATTTGTGTAAGGAAACCTAATTTATAAGGGAACCAAAAAAGATCAAAAGGGCCTAATTTACATAGGGCAATGACTACTACTTCCACAATAACTTCAACAACAAATCACTAAATGCCTTTGCCTTAGAATGTGAACTTCTATTTTCACCACCAAACTTCCACTCCTAAATCCTCCTTATAGTTTGTGTCCAACTGAGTATCACCAAGAACATTTTCTAACCTCCTTATAGTTTGTGTCCAACAGAGTATCACCAAGAACATTTTCTAAGAATGCAATACCCAACAAAACAGTAGAACATGATGCTACCAAACAAGACTATAAGGTAAACATGGTGCATCATGATATGCACACCAAACCATATCATTAAGATAAAACATTTCGTTCTTGATACATCAAAGACATGGTTCAACATCTTTCAAATTACCTGACTCTCAATCCTACTGGGCTCTGTAAGGGAAACATCACGGTAAGAATGCTCACCATCTTGCAATCTTTGCCTCTCATATTCGAGTAGAGCCTGCAAAAACTGATGATTAGTAAAGATTTAAAAGATGCAAATAATCAGGAGGCTGTTCTTTTTGCCTGAAAATAAAATAGCAGTAAAAAAAAAAAACTAAAATCGACAAAGCTAAAGAGTGTAACCTTCTCATAAAATATTCGGAATGTCCAGGAGACAGTGGTGCATGTCCTATCCAAATGTAAACCATAGAAATCAACCATTTATTGACCAACATAACTTCAATTTTTTTAATAAAATAAAAAAAGCAAAGTGATTAATAGTAATCACTATCAACAAGAGCAAGTAAAACAGTGATCAGGGGTGAGTTATAAAACAAATAATGGTTCACTAAACCTTATCTAGGGGAGGTATGAGTATTGTTGTAAGCTTTGGTAACTCCACCAAAGAAAAAAAATCACAGAAAAACACACATTGTGATAAAATTCATTTAAACAAATTCATAAGATGAAATTGTAATGCTCCTCATTTTTATTTTTCATAGATACATAGTCATCCTTACTTTGGGGGATTGAATGACTCTCCCACTTGCCTCCACAACTTGCATGAAGTGACCTGAGAATGCCCACAAACATAAAAAAGCTTTAATACCTCTCGAAATACTTTCAATCACTGAAACAGAATACAAAGACCAACTGAACTACAGCTGGATAATCGAGCAGAATCAGAAACCATTAGAAAATAAACACAATACAGGCAACCAGTAGAACATATAACTTAGAAAGAGACACACCGAAACCAAGTTTCTCGGATCAGCATTTGAAATAATTATAAATCACTTGAACAAGAAAATATTTCAACAGAGAAACCAAACAAACCTCTTCATAACCACCGAGTTTGATCACAGCTCTCCATAACCTGAACCAAAGGACCACAAAAAAACCTCTAATAATTAAAAAGCTGTCTAGTAGAAACCATACTCAAACTCAGAAGACTACAACGAGCAAAAACATACTTGAGCAAATTCAGGTCCTCTTTGTAGAACTTCGGGTGCTTAAATTCTAGGCTTCTCTCTTTATAGAAATTTTCTACCTCCTTCACAAATGCTGCTTGCTCCTCCTCCGTTCCTGATTCATCACCCTCGGCAACTGGAGGTTCATAAAGAAAGGAAAGGTTTGAGCTTTTCATACCAACTTCACACCCAACATCAACATGAGGATTTGGCTCCTTAACTTCACTGCTCGGAGACAACTCCATTTCAGCCACTCCATTCAATTCCAGGTCCTTCTCATCATTTTCAGCTTTTATCTCTGAATACCTCACATCCGATGCAACACAATCTAGCTGATTTGATGGAGGCTCATGACCGCCATCGTCTTTGCTATGAGAAAGTTCATTAGCAGTTTCATCAACAGCTGCAACATCATTCTCCGCTTTAGCAGCAGCAGCAGGTTCAACCAAATCTTTATTATCAACAACTGATTCATCAGCCTTGTCATTTTTATCCACAGACTCCATTTTGGCATCTTCATCTTTGCCATGTAATCCATCCACATTGTCAAAAGGTTGAACATCAGTAAGCGTTTGGTCATCAACGGAAGCAGGGTTATCATCAGTGGCTAATCCAACACTTTTGACATCACTATCCTCAACATTCTCAATAGAGTCTGGATTTTCTGGTTGAGAAGAAGGTGGGTCTTTGGCTTCAAGTTGATGGTCTTTATCTTCTTTTCCCTTTTCTTCTTTGACACCACCCATCTCACTATCACTCATCTTAAAAAACAAAACTTCCTGTACATATAAGCTAACGTCAAAACTCCTCCAAAAAGAAAAGAAGCAAAAGAAAGAAAGCCCTAAAAGCCAAAAGGGTCTCTGTAACAATAAGAGAAGAAGACAAGCCGCAGCTAACATTTACAGTAACCTCCCTTTAAACAAAAAGTAAAAGAAAAAACACAAAGAAACGTCATTTATAAACAGAGTAGATGACACATGGTTAGTTAAAAATAACAATGGGAGAAAAGAAGAAGAAGAAGCATACTTAGGTTGAGCTGAAACAGAAGGCAGCCGTTTAAATTAAGTTGAGATTAGTTTAAAACCCTAACGCTGTTTGTTTTTCTGTTTTGTTGAGGAGTTGCAGAAACAAGTGAGAGCGTGGCAATGTTTGTTTGCAGAGAAGAGAGAAGACAGAGAGCAGAGCTAAATTGTCACGCCTCTATTTATCTTTTTCATCTTTCTCACGTGTGTCACCCAACTATACTTCCATTTGTTTTTTTAATATTTCCATTATCAACTCATCATGTCTTTCCAAATTTTTTCATTCTGTTTTACAAGTTTCCTCTTTTATTTATACATTTCTTGACTTTCCTCTTGCTATACCACCCACCCCTTTTATCACATTATTTAATTTCCAATTTATTAACTTTAATGGAAAATTGTTAATTGTTAATTGTATTGAATGAGCAACTTTTCTGTTCCATTTCTCTGTTCTTCATAATCCCTGTAGTCAAGAGCAGATTTTGCTGGATAAAATGCACTAATTGATGTTTTGTTTCTTGAAAATGCAACATTGGAACATTGTCCTATTATGCTTTAAGAGGTGAGCCCTATAATTGAAGTTAAATTCAAGAATACTGTTGGTACAAGATTATCCGAAGTCTTTGTCATACATTCTAAAGTCTAAACCACAATGTGAACCAATTATTTCACCACAAATGATACAGAATGGTAAGACTTTCGACTTGCCCTGCCGATGCTATCACTCTTTCAAACTAAGCCTCGCATTTTGCACCTTCACTGACAGCTTTAATTTCTGTTCTTCCATGTCTCTTAAAACGGCTAGCAGATTTGTTCGGTACACTTCGCATCGATGATTTATATTCTCCAACTCAGCTGTCATTTCCCGAATTTTCTTTTCTTTCTCATCCTGGACAGGAGAGGGGAGAGAAACGTAAGAGAGAATTGAATTAAGGCATATGACCATAATTGAACTGCAAGTAATGTCATAGACAAAGAAAATCTATCCGCTTCAGATGTTATACAACATACTTAGACATCAATATAAGGTCATTCTACAAAATATGTGACAGAAACATGAAGAAGAAGAAGAACAGAACTCAGAGAAGCAAACTGTCCCCCAAAGGAACAAAAGTTTCAGCTCTCACTAGTGGAAGTACAATTATAGGCCAGCATGAACAATAACAAGCAACTATGATGTGCAACAAAACACTTAAAAGATACAAACACCATTTAAGGAGGGCGAAAACAAAATCCTAAGCAACCCAAAAATTATCAGATTATGAAGGTTTTATTAACTATGTTTAATACATCCTTGAACGTTTCAAACTTAATTTGCTCCTACTTTTTGTTTATTCATTATTGCACTTAGATACTGCAACTGAGCCAGATACAACTAATCACATGGGTTTATGAAGCAGTCTATGTTTTTTGTTTTATTATTTGTTTCCCCACGTACAACACAAATTAAATGAATCCCCACCAAGCTAGTTGCTAGTACAAGGGAGATTTCATCCTATACCTCTTGCTTCCACTTCAAGAGATCTAAGCAGATAGGCTGAGTTTACATACACATTGCTGTAATTTCAAAATTTATTGATTTTGGAAATATAGTTTCTCTCTCAAGCTGTTATTTGAGTTCGAAGGATCTATTGATTCAAGGAATAATAAGCTTGCACAAGTATTCTACATATAAAGCGTTATTAAGGCCTTACTGGTGAATATTGTAGACTCCAAAGATGGAGTTAATGAATAATGGCACAGAAGTTTGGGTTTAGAGACAGTAACTGAGGTATATAAGTAAAAATCCTTAAGGGGCCAAAAAACTATTACAATTTGCTTGTATAAATCTGTGACTGATATGCCCTCTAGACAAAAGCCTCAAGCCCTAATAAAAAAGGTATAAACAAACCAATCATCAGAAAATATAGGAGATCTATTATGTTATACACTTCATTTTCAGAAACCATTCCTAGGATTTAGCAACTCTAAAACTTGTACTTATCTTGTTTGGCTTTAAACAATTAAATGAATCAGCAGTATATGCAAGCATTTTTTCTTAGAAATAATGAAGAACCTTGAACTCTTATCAGTTGCAGAGTAAGAGAAACTAACCGTTGATTGAAATGTTGGAGTTGGAGTTCCTTCAGCTGCATGCAACTCTTGGCTACCTCCATTAGTCAAAGTGCTAGCATGAGTGGCTCCCGAACCTTGATTCTTTGTGGCAGTAACCTTACTGGTAGCCTCTCGTAAAGCATCCATTGCCACATTATAAATGTGAATTGATTTTGCCCCTTCTTCAACATATTTGATTGCTTCCTGGCGTAGATTATTATATCGAACTGTTAAAGACTCTCTAGCATTATTTGCCAATTCAGATGAAGGTTCGTCTGTCACAACTCCAGTCTTGGCATTTCTTGTCCATCGTTTTAATACATATTGAGAAGGCAACGTAAGAACATTTTTAGCTCTAAAAACTGCTAAAATGTGCCTACAAATTATTCCTGAATATTCAAACATTTGGCAGCTGCAGCTAGCTTTCATCTCAAAAGAATTGAAACTGACAGTTCGAGCTTTGTGGTCTTCACCAAATTTGGCCACACGATAAGTTATGATGGCTCCTGAGTCATCAATTTTAGTTGCAGGATTAGCAAGGGTCTCAACCAATTCCTCTTGAAATTTCATGAATGCTCTTCTTGTATACAGGTTCGCTGCTTGTTTTTCCATAGGAGATGGTGTCTTCAGCACTGGTGTAGTGTTGGTGGTGTCATAATCTGCCTTTAATTCCTTCTCATGCCAGCTGGCAACAGCTTTCTCATACTGTTTTATCAACATCTGTATGGTAGTTGATGCATTCACATACCCCTCAAAGAACAAGTTCCCTGCACTTCTGTCAGTAACAGACATCTCCCCAAAAAACGTTTCTCGCATATAAACTGGAACCCACTGTTGCCGAGCATTATACATTGATTGCAGCCATTCATTATCCATAACATAGTATCTTTCCAGCAGTGACTGCCAAGATGACTCAAATTCATCAATTGTCTCAGTCTCATTAATACACTTGTGAAATTCAGTTTCAAACATAGGATTTGATTGATAAATTTGAACCAGTTTCTCCTGTGTTTCTCTAAATATGCCCCATTTACTAAAACGATGACGGGTTTCAGGGAGAACCTGTGCAACGGCCACCTGAATCAACCTATCTGGGTCAGTTGTGATAGAGACAGGGCGGCACTCAGACATCGCATGAAGCCAGGTTTGAAACAGCCAAATGAATGAAGACTCAGATTCATTAAGAATTAGGGCACACCCAAACAACACGGGCTGACCATGATGATTCAGCCCTGTGAAAGAGGCAAATGGAACCCTATACCGATTTGACCTGTATGGTGTGTCGAATGTGACAGTATCTCCAAAGTAAGAATAGTTCATCCTAGCTGTTGCATTCGCCCAAAATATGCTTCCACCACTGTGATCATTATCACCCTGAGCCTGAACTGCATAATAGAAAGAAGGATTCTCCGCCTGCATCCGCTTCAGGTAGTCCAATACATGCTGACCCCCACCACCAAGGGGCCCTGTCTGCTGCCACTCATGGATCCAAAAATCAACTGTACCAGCATGTAAACATATATAATAATAAATCAGCAATTCCCAAAGCCATTACATAAACCTAACACATTTACACGATACATGATTTATTAAAAATGAAAAAAAAAAAAAAAAAAAAAAAAAGCTTGAACAGCGTAATACTGTTCTTTTCAGTCTAAAACGAGTGAAGCGGAATTAAGGATGTATAAATATAGTGCGCAAACTTTGTAATCGGGATTTGGGAATTTAACAAAGGGAATAGAAAATCATGTGGGAAGCATGTAATTTAGCAGAAAAATATAAAATTTAACGAAAAGGATTGAGGTTTCTGAAAGTAATAATGAGAAAATGGAGAACTGACCTAAACGAACCGCCAGAGTAGGGGGGGGGGGGGGGGGGGGGTGTTTCTAGGGTTCTGACTGATCGCTGTTATTGGCCTCTCCCTCCGCAAACGATTTAGCACTTGAATAGTTGAATTCCTCTTTTTCCAGTTGAACTAAAAACAGAAGAGATTCTGTTGCACTTCGCTGTTCCTGTTCGCATAACATTAACTTAACTTAACTGTTAACTCAACTCCCTCACGGGTTTGTTCTGTTGTGACCCGGACCCGAATAACTGAGATACTTGTGGTTTTATCTTATTTATTTATTTACTTTATTTTAGAGTTAACAACTATTTCCTACTTAAATAATAACTTAACGACGCATTCCCACGACTGACTTTAAAATACTGTTCTATATTCAAATTTATATTTTAATGATGAATAGAAAATAAACTCGGTCTAAGTTATTGGGGCTTTTAAAAAGAGAAGGCCGATAAATTTTTTAATGGTGGAAAATTAGATTTTGATGATTAAGATTAATCGGAATTTGACTTAGGAATGACGGTTATGCAAAACCTAATCATTCAATTGCCGAAAATTAGAGAGATCAACAAGAATAGGGTTTGAGGGGTTTTGATGAATGATGATCAAGAAAAAAAATTGTGATAATGTGAGATCATAACGATTTCAAAATTGAAAACAGAATATATATTTGAATAATAAAATTATATTTTAAAAATTTGTGCGTAAAAAAAGTGTCGTTAAGTTATTATTTGGGTGAAAAAAAACTGTTTACTCCTTTATTTTATTCCTTCCATGCATAAAGTTCAAAATAATAAAAACTAAGTTTGGATTATAAAGTTGGATTTTTATTTTGTTTTATATAATCTGATTTAGGTGTCTCCAAGTGATAAGATTGGGTGGGTTATCTTATCAGTTATCACTTCCATTTTCATGAACATTTGGATTTTAACTTTTGCTTACCATGAGTTAACAAATGGAAACCCAATATCTTAAACCATGAAGTGGAAAGAAAAATTCTTAACAATGATCATAACTTACAAAGACCCACTGCCCTCTATTATGATGAATCCCCCTCCCATGTGCTAAATTGACAGGTACATCCAATAAATGACAGACAAGAACCCTTTTAGCTTTAATTGATATTGAATTGGAAAAGGCCGCCATCTTTATGACTGCCTTTCAACCAATAAATCTTCAAGTTCATCAAGAAAAATGCCCAGTTGACTATACATATGGAGCAGTTTAAAACTTAAAATGAAGGAACTATAACTTCAAATTGGCAACATATGCATCTAAAGACATTACGTACACTGTACAACGTAACAGATTGAAAGGCTAACCTATATCTACACCATCAGCAGGCAAATGTTACAAAGCCTTGCCAAGGGAGTATTAGAAGTACAGACTTGACATAAAAAATAAAAAAATAAAAATAAAAATAAATAAAAAATACAAATTAAAATTGTATTGCATCTTTATAGGCTATCTTTCATACTAATCTTTATGTTTTGCACTTTTATTGACAACTGTAGCTTATGGTCCTCGATATCTTTTAATACTGAAAGCAGGTTAGCCCGATAAACTTCACATTTTCGACTTGCAAATTCAAGCTCATTGGTAAGTTCTCGAATTTTTTTGTCCATATCATCCTGCAAAATGAAGTCAAAATTACAACAGTCCATAGCAGATAATATACACATAGCACTTGAATTGCCAGAGTCGACCTTGTCGATAGAAATATGAAGGCGGTATGGCCAACATTAATACATGACAGGAAATGCAGCAATACAACATCAGTAATGATTCAGATGCCATGTCCATATAACTATGAGAATGAAAGAAATACTCCCATGAATATCATAAAAATCCTATTCAACAGTCTACTGCTACATGTTGCTGCACTATTGAAAAGAAAAGATTAAATCCTATGAATCATAAATTAGAATTCTTATAATACATACCTTATAGGACTGAAACTTAAATGGTGCAAAGCAAACCTAAATGACAGCTCTATGATACCATTAGACCTGAACAAACAATGCCTTAAACCATGTACCAGCCAGTCAATCAGTAAAACATTATGACATGCTCATGAAAATATATTGCACACAGAGGCAAAACTACAAATTCTTTATAAGTGCAACATTAGCTTTCAGAGTCTTATAGGTGCTTGGCACAAAATCATCCGACTACAAAAATTTATGAAAGAAAAGCATCCTCATTAAAGGGGTTTTAAATTGTCACAAAAACGTAAATAAATATATAAGCAATGCACTATATAACTGAAAAATGATTCTCACCTCAGACAAAGGTTGGCTGGAGACTACCTGATGATTCGCATTAATACTTATTGCTCGATTGGCCTCAGTTTTGGTCCTCATACGCCCATTCATCAAGGTAGTTTTCCCATCATTCTTTGTCGCCACTGCAACTCTTTTTGCGGCATCTTGCAAAGCAATCATCGCCACATTGTAAGTGTCCACAGACTGTGCCCCTTCATCGATAAATTTGAATACCTCATGACGTAGTGTATTATATCGAACTGTATGAGATTCTAGATAATTGGTATATACATCATTTGCACGCTCTTCTAATATAACACTGCTCTTAGCATTTCTTGTCCACCGTTTCAAGATATAATGAGATGGAAGCGTAAGGACATTAGTCACCCGAAAGACTGCCAGTATATGTCGACAGAGAAGACCTGAAAACTCAAACATCTGGCAACTACAAGAGGCTTTCATCTCTAAAACATTAAATTTGACATAGTAAGCTTTATGATCCTCCCCAAACTTTGCCACTTGATATGTAATGATCTCCCCATCATCATCTGCTTTTGATGCCGTGAATGTAAGTGTGCCAACCAGCTCCTCTTGAAATCTCATAAACAATTTTCTTGTGTAAAGCTCAGATGCCTGTCTCTCCATTGGAGATGGAGTCTTCAAAACTGGGGAAGTGTTCATTGTATCATAGTCTGCTTTCACTTCTTTCTCATTTCGAGATTCTAGTGCTTTCTCATACAGCTTAAAAAATTGACTAAGATTGGTTGAAGCGTTAACATACCCGTCAAAGTACGAATTCATACTATCACTTCGCTGAGTTATGGACATTTCTGCAAAAAAGGTGTCCCGCAGATATACTGGAACCCACTGCCTACGAGCATGGTAAATTGTTTGAAGCCACTCATGATCCCTGAGTTCATATCTATCAACCAGAGACAACCAACAAGACTCAAATTCTTCAATTGACTCAGTCAAGTTAACACATTTATGAAACTCTGCTTCAAAATTTGGATACTTGAGAAAAACATGGGACAATTTCTCCTGACATTTTTTGAAGATGTGCCATTTGCAGAAACGATGGCGTGTCTCCGGGAAAACCTGAGTGATAGCTGATCGTATCACGGCATCATGATCAGTTGTGATTGACACTGGAGGGCGACCAGACATTGCTGTAAGCCATGTATTAAATAACCAAATAAAAGAAGCTTCGGATTCGTTGATTAAGAATGCACAACCAAACAGGACAGGCTGTCCATGATGGTTTACTCCAGTGAAAGGTGCGAAGGGCAAGCGATACCTATTGGACCTGTAGGTCGTATCAAAGGTAACAGTATCACCAAAGTAAGTGTAATTAGCCCTAGCCTTTGGATCAGCCCAGAAGACGTTGCTCACAGACTGGTCGTCATCACCCTGGACAGCATAAAAGAAATTGGGGTTCTCTGCATGCATTTGCCTCAAATAATCCAAAAGTAGCTGAATGTCTCCTTCTAAGCTCCTCTGGCGGTTATTTCTCATGTAATTCCTACAGTCCACCTCTGTAAATCCAACTTTGCTTATTCCACCATATTCTTTTATTAAGGCTGACATAATCCTACGAGGGCCCATTCCAGCTGCTTGCAAGGTATCAATCAAGGTCTTAGCAGGACCAGAAATTTGCCTATGAGAACGAAGGCAATGAACCTGGTCTGGGGGAACCAGCTCATGATTGTGTTCTTTAACAAAACCAGACACAACCCATTTCCCAGAATCCTGCATTTTAACAGACAAAGACGCTTTGCACCCAACTCTAGTAACCGTTCGGGGTCTCTTAATCTCCCTATCCTTTGTGCGCTTCTCATTCAAATTCCTAAACCCTTCTTTAGCACAAACAAATTGCCTTTGGATAATAGCTCCATCACGCCTGGAACGGCGAGAGGAGCTGACACGAGTACTGAATCCAACACGTCGAGCATAAGAGTTGTAAAAGGCCTTGGCAGCCTCTTCGGACTCAAATTCCATGCCCTCATAAGGTTCAAGATCCGAAAGGTCACCTTCAGGAAGGTAAATTTCACCACTCCCAGTATTGCCAATAGTAACAGGAAGAGGACTATCATCCATGTCCTCATCATCAACACCTTCATCCCCCTCTCGCCCACTACCCACTCCTCCTAAACCTATATCAAATTCTAAAACCTCACTGTCCATGTCAATCTAATAAAATATACCTCTACAACACAATCTAGCACAAAAATGAAAAACAAACCAAACAACTAACCATTTGTACAATCTAAACTTCAAGTCTTTGCGCCTCACTCTCCCTCCGGTGGATCCTAAGTGTTAAAAACGTCAGCCCAGCAATTGATTGGCGAAGTGGAAGAGTTGCAACACTGACACACACAAAAAGGGAGGCTTTTTTATTGGTGTCTAGGGTTTCTAGTGAAGATTGAGAAGGGGAAAGAAACCCTAGAAGAATCGAAGTTAAATTTCGGAATTTGTACGGGATTGATGAGAATTGGGGCTGGAAGCGATTGAATTTTAGAGAAATTATTTAACTGAAAAATAAATTAAATAAAAAATAGTTGGAGAAGAGAGAGTAGAGAGAGAAGCGTGGGCGGAGAGGTGGGCTCATGTGTTCTACTTTCTAAACTTAACCTCCTTGCTTGAGTTCTATCTTTTGGCCCTGCCTATCATATCTACCGTACGATCTTATTTTGAGATGATCTGTTGCGTTTATACTTTATTGTTTATCTATTTCATCAAATGATGGGCAATTTGGTTTTATCTTTTGTAACTTAATCAAAACAATATATTTCAAAGTTTTGGGGTGTGTAGATATAACAAAAATCCCGGGGGTCTATATAATTAACCGAAATTTCAAACCCTAGACCCATGTAGCCACCAAATGTCATTTTCCCAAAACTACCTTTATATATAAGCAAAATTTTCTCCATTGTTCTCCCGTTAAAAAATAGAAGGCTTTTGGATTCTGATTTTGATTTTTGAATTTTCATTCCCTTATTGCATTAATCATAGTATAGATTTATTAAAGTAAATATTCTGACTACACTTTGATTGATTTTTAGACGATTATAGTAGTGAGAATGAAATTAACTGCGACATTTTAAAAGAAGTTGTTAGATTTTTTAGATTATGTAAGATTTAAGTTAAGGTGTAAAGATTTTAAATTTCTAGAGTTTTTCTGGTTAATGTGATTATTGTTGTGGTGGTTGTTGTTTAATGAATGTTATCCGTGTTATTGTGTTTAATGGGAATAAAAGTGTATTGATTTTGTCTATGATAGATTTGAGTAATTACAACCAATTCTACACTTGCGTGAAAAAATACGCCAACTAAGAGATTTCTTGTAAAGTTTTCCAGTAGGACTAATTTTTTACGCCAACTAGTTTAAAATTCAAATTTTACTTGTCCCTGGCAGCATATTTTCTATGCTATTAGTGCAAAACATTGACGTCTTTTTTAGTCAATTGGCGTAATTTAATTAGTCAATCGGGATGGGGTGAAAAAATAAGACACCAAAAATTCAAGAGTATAATGATATTTAATTAGAGAAGTTGGTTATATTGGTATAGAATTCGAAATTTTGGTTAATTACTATAGATGAAATTTGGTTACTTTATCAAAACCCCAAATTAAATTCTTTAAAATACGCGTTGCAATACACGTGTCATTGTATTATCACTTTAGCAACTTTCATATTAATGAGCGGCTTTTACTTAGGTTTTGATTAAATAATCATCCTTTTATAATTAATTTTATTTTAAAATTAAATTTAGATAACTGCAACTTCCATTTTTCCTCACTCTTTTAATGAAAAACTGATACTCTATATATAAATAAACTCTATATAGTTATAAAAAATTATATTCTTAATTTGGGATAATTATAAATAAGAATAAACTCTACATTATAATAAGTTATAATTTTTTCAATTCTCGTCTTAAGAAAAGTTGTCTCCACATAGTAATAATTATCTGTATATTACAAAAAAAAAAAAATATGATATGTTACATTAAAAGTTTAAGAGAAAATAAAATATTTTTCTGAAATTGTTTGAGATAATAATTTATGTTTTAGAGTTATTATTAACTTGCAGGTACATTACTCGCTAGCATGAACATTTTCTTATTAAAACCAAAACATTTATAACTTATCAAGCATGTTTAGAGTTTTTTGGCATGAAACTTTTTGTATTTCCATACTATCATACTCATAATTATTTCATTTCTCTTATTGTTTAAATGCAGAAATGATTTATTTTTTGTTAAAGCATACATGACTTGTTACTCATTTGGATAATTAAGAAAAACATTAATATTCATTCGATTAGTGTAGTGAAGTTATCGAATCTAATACTCAATTCTACAATGACTTTTTGATTCTCCTCATTCACTTCATTTGTAACTTGCAATTCATCGACATTGGGGGTCCTAATTTGTAATGCTTAAAATAATTGGCAATTGTGTGTAGCTTCATATCAGTTGTCATGAAGCAATTACATTTACAATTCCATTAAAAACAGTTATCTTTGTTGGTTTCAAAACATGATCTTTTGTCCGTTTCAAAAATAGGCAATTGAAGCGTTGAATTAAAACCATAATTTTATTAAAACATGAATTGAAATCATAATATTGTATTACTAAAACATGAATTATGAAATAAGAAATTTTTTTAACTGCATCTCTATTAAGTTATAACATTCTCATAGTAATTAAATTAGCTAGTCCCACCATTATGACTATACAGAGGTTTTATTGTATATTGTATATTGTTTTTTAATTTTTTAATAGTTTAAATAAAATATCAAGAAATACATACTATTTTTAACTACTATAAAAAAATAAATAAAGTAACATATCGTAAAAATAAATAAATAAAAAGTAACATTTTTTTTTAACTAAGGTGTCCGGACTAACTTTCACGTACCTATAAACAATTTTTTTTTTTTTTTTTTTTTTTAATGATTGAAGGTGTCTAAGCCAACTTATGTGTATCTCAAATAATCTCCCTAAATCTTGGAAATACCGATCAGATAAAAACTCTAGTGATTAACTCAATTAGCGACCAAGAAAAAACTCAAACTAATAAACTCTTGAGTAATATATCTAAGAAACTTTATCAAACTATTCGACTATCCAGAGATAGTTTACAAACAAGCTCCCATGCCACAATCCAATCAAATATTTCAATAAAAAACGTATGTGTACTTGTCTAATTACATTCTCCTTTAATCATGTGATATTTGTAAATTATGCCTTATGACTCATGATATACTATACACTCATTAGATGGGGGCACAAACACTTGGATATTGTCTTTTATTTCAAATATTTGTTTGTGGATGAATTAACGAAAAAAGTTTCAAATTTGAAATTGGAGAAAAAAAAACGTTTAACAAAAATTTTAATTAAGTGTAAAGGGTTATTTTTTATATTAAATGGGATTATATATATATATATAATTATTTAACGATGAGCGATACTAATAAATTAGATGTAAAAATCACTTGCAATACTTTAATTCATCCATGAAATCCTTAGGGTCTGAGAAGTTCAATCCATATGTAAAGGCCCGTACATATACTTATTGGCTAGGGCCTAGGGCCGAGCAAATTTCTACTTGGGCCTTTTCCTACAATTTTGACCTTAAAATTATGTGTGTATGCTTCTCAAATTTAACTATTCTACATAATTTTAAAAGTTTAAATTCTTAAACAATAATAATTGATTTACAACCCAATCTCATAACTCTTACATGATAATTCTTAGTTTTTTGCTGATGAATATTGAATTCTGAAAAATTCATCGGTAAAAAACTGGGAGCCACAACCCCAAAGAAAATTTATAAAATTGAGTTATAAATATAGTATTGTTCATTCTTAAAGCTTCCAACTCCACTCACTCTCTCTCATTGTAGCCGTCAAAGCATGCTTCCAAGGAACTTGCTGGATACAGATTCGGGTTTTAGATGAGGAGCTCAAGAATAAAATTGGCTAAGGAAGAGACACCAAAAGTCAAGTAGGAGGGAGATTTTCTGAGTTGGAATGATGACATGGCAAATGGGAGTGATGATGTGTCAAAGAAGAGCCAAGTCGGCACGAAAAGCATGAAAAATGTGTGAATATACTATTTTAGAAATTTAACTAAGTAAGAAAATATATGGTATTATGATAGTATTGTTGACGTGATACTGCAAGACAATGCATGTATGCCAAATATTAATCACAGTTAATTACAAGATGTAGTAGAGAAAAAAAATTCACAAGTGGCAAAAACTCATTGGGAGGTGATAATACTCTTATTGTATTATATATTTTTTCGTAACTTCCGTAAAGATTCATTTCCCCTCCCTAACAAATTAGTTGTTTATAAAAGAGTGATACATGTAATTAGACATGGTGTATTTTAATATTATATGATAAGTCCTTATTTGGAATCTTGAGAATAGAGTAAACCACTTTTCTCACCCAAGGATTGCCTTAATGAAACTTTTCCACCAAAAAATTTCAAAATACTACTTCCCACATGATGTTTATATTCTGTTAATATCTAAAATATACTTCATTTTCTCAATTGGTGTTCGACGAGTTACTAGAAACTAGGGTAACAGGGTTTTTATAGAGTGCAGACTAGTGGAGCGAATAGTGGTGACAGATTGAATATTTGTCACCGGAATCAGTTAAACCTTAGTTTTATGGTGGTTGACAATTGACGTAAAATCAAGTGTCTGAGTGTCTGAGTGAGAGGGGTTTTTTAGAGAGGAGACTGAAAGTTTAAATGGGGATGACGGAAAGAATTTTTGCTGTCAGAATTGGTTTTGAGTAATGACAAAATATTAACTTTGGATGTGAAAGTGATATTTTAAAACTTTTTGGATGAGAAAGTATCATTAAGGTAAACTTGGGTCGAAAAAAAGTCGTTTACTCCTTGAAAATACGGCATACATGTAGTATTTACAGAGAAGGCCAAAGGCCCAAAGCTTTGCTCTCACTTTGATTTTTACAATCCCATAGATTATCACAGCAATTACTAATTAATTGCATTTAATTAATTAATTAATCGACCTTCACTTTAACTGTTTTGTTGATGTTCATGAATGATGAAAACCTTCGAGTCCGAGAAGGGACAATCTTTCTCTTTTATGTATAGCTTCTTTAAGTGTTTTTTAAAAAAAAAAATTAAAGAAACAACAAAAGAGAATAGAAAAAGAAAAATAAAAACTAAGAAGGGTCTTAAATCTTAAGCTTATCTAAGCTCGTGTAAGGAAATCATGGAGAAGATGTTTTTACCTAAACACCCCTGAGATTTAGTCAGAGAAAATGGAGACCTATAGGTTTCCGAATGGAATTCTACTTTTACATTTGAATAAAAGCTTCTCACGGAGAATGTAGAACTTTGAAGCGTTGACCGAAATCTTTCTGTATGCATGCCGCCTGTAGTTTCAATTTGATGACCCCCATATATGATCTTGTTCTTTACGGTTCTATTTTGTACCAAAAATTCTTCATTATATTTATCACAAAGCTTCTCTTCTCTTCTCTTCTCTTCTCTTCTGGACCTACTTTTTTATAATTAGAATTTTTATTAGTTAATCATTTTTTTTTATGATGGAGGGTGTCTATACTAGCTCATGGGCACATCACTTATTAATAATTGGAATTTTTAATAATTAATATTTTTTTTCTTGACTTACTTCTTCATAATTGGAATTTTTAATAGTTAATCAATTTTTTTTTTTTTTTCTATGATCGTAGGTGTTTGTGCCAGCTCATGGGTACATCACTTCTTCATAATTGGAATTTTTAATAATTAATCTTTTTTTATGACCGAGGGTATCCACGCTAGCTTATGGACACATCAATTAATCCCTTAGACCTTGAAATTATCGACCGAATAAGAGCTTTAGCGATTATCCTTATTAACACTTGAAGAGTAACTCAAACTCAGAACTTTTTGAGTAATACACTCAAGAGTTCCTATCAAATCAAGTTACTTAGATGTAACTATAATTAATCATGTTTCATATATGTCAAAAGAAATACTACTTTCCAATATTAACTATCAAGAAAACTTGCATGTGTATATTTTTTCATCACAACTGTACCAGCTTCATCTTTATTTTAATTTGTTTAAATTTATGAAATTACGATAAATCTCGCCATTACTAAAAATTATCAGAAGAATATATCAAATTCATGCATATTCCTTATATTAAACCATGATCGATCCATCAACTTCCTACAGGAACAACCACTTAGGTGTGGTCGGATGATAAGACTTTGGATTACCCATAAGTCTTGTGTTGAGTCCTATAAAGTGGCCATCTATAATATTTGTGACTTACTTGACTCATTGGGCTTATAAGGCATTCAATAAACTATGATGATTAACTGAAATACTCGTAAATTGGCGCAGACACCCTCGTAACCAAAAACACAAAAAAAAACTTCCCACAAGAATAGTACAATACTAAACTATCATATAATATCACTTACTTGACCCACTAGATTTATAAGGTATTCAATAAACCCCAAAGATTAGTTGAAGTGTATACAAGGTGTACGTAAATTACCCGAACACCTTGGTTTAAAAAAAAAAAAAAAATTCCTGCAAGAATAGTACAACACTAAACCATGAGATACCTGTAATATGAGTGGTTTGTACGTCCTGGAATTCTTCCAAATAGTTGAGATGCTTTTTGCTTTTTCTTGTAAAAGTACTCAACCAAACATTGAGAATAATCCAGGCGACTGCTTTTTCATTTGTTGAATTCCTTTATTTATCAAAGAGATAAGAATAAGATCCATGACACCTGACCAGAAGCTCCTTTTGTATAGAATTCAGCTGAATCCTTGGAGCTTTGATTTGTTCTCTTGTTTGTGCTATTCCCATCCAAAAAGAAAAAGTTTGCCAATAAAATTTTATTAAAGTTATTATGAGTAGGTTTCTTTAGCAAAACTCCGACATTTGGTCAAACTAATCGATTTTAACACGAGAAAAATATTTATATGGAATAATCTTGTCATCTTATTACTTAATTGGTTAGCGTGGTGAGACAGTTTAATAAAACAAAGGTAAGTATTGTTAACTTCTCAAAACCACAGATGATAAATATATGAAAGAGAAAATTTAATAAATATATAGTTATACACACTATTATATTTTCAGATGATCTTATGTTTAAAAGGTGAAGTGATAAGACTGTTTTATATAAATATTTCTCAACCCTAAGGGGTTGACTTGATGATCAATCAAGTTTGCTCTATTAATTTCTTTGGTTTGAACTTTGGAGTTACCTATCACATTTGTGACTTACCTGATCTTTTAAGTTTTTAGGATGTTCAATGGACTCGGAGATTAGTCAAAGTACACATAAATTAGCTCGGACGCATCGATTGCCAAAAAAAAAAAAAAAAAAAAAATTGTCTAACACGGGAACTTTGATGGGTCATAGGAATGCTAATTATTCATGAAGTAATGTTAAAATGGAATTAGATTCTAGCCAATCCGCCTCCTTTTTCCTTCACTCAATTCCCTATTCATGAACTTAATTATTTCATCAGCATTCCCAGGTTATTCTCTCCTTGTGAAACTTAAGCAAAGTATCTGTATCTACCAAGAATTAAAACTGTTCAAACTCCCTTTTGCCTTATATATAAACACTTTAATTAACGAAGTGACATCAATAAAATCATCATGAAGATTGACAAAGAAATCTTTCATCCTATCCACCCACAACACAAACTGAAGCTCGAATACACAGAGATCCCATTCAACTGTGATGGCTGCAAGGAAGCCGGCATTGGGTTCAAATACACTTGCAGGCGATGCGAGTTCGACTTGCACAAGGCTTGCGCCGTGGCAGATCAAACCTTCACTCACCCTTTCTACAGAAAATGCGATTTCGAATTCCACTATCAGCCCCCGGGTCGAGAAATGAGGTACTGTGATGCATGTGGAAATGATGTTCTCGGGTTTGTTTACCACTGCAAGAGATGCGGGTTTGATATGCATCCTTGTTGCGCGAATCTTCCTCAAGTCCTTGACGACGGGGAGCACAATCTCTACCTCTGTTTGAAGCTGTCTAGCTCGTGCCATCGGTGCGGGGGCAAAGGCCCCGGATGGTCTTACAGGTCCAAGTGTAAGAGTTATAATCTTCACGTGTCGTGTGTTAAGGAGCTGCTGGTCGAGAGTTGGCAAGCCATGTATTTGAATGTGGATAAGAATAAAGTCAGGGAGATGCAGACAAGGATTCCTACTCTTAAAGGGACGTTGAAGAATCATCATGGACGAAGAGGGAGAGGTGGTGGAAAGGTGAAGAAGTGTTGTGAAATGGCTGGTGGTGCCGTCCGTCTTATTGTTTCTGCCATTCTTGGTGATCCTACTACTTTGATTGCAGCCGTCATCGGTGGGTTCATGTCCAAGTAATACAAATATATCATCGAATTAACATATATATATATATGCATGTTGTCGTACGTGTATGTTGTCGATTTTATGTTTGTTAATTAATTTATGGTTGTGTGCATGATCATTAGGGCCTATATTATACACGAGATCGTCCAAAGCATAATATTTTCCACGGCTAGTCTTGTTTTTTTTTAAATGATCAGGATGTTCAGATTAGTTTACGTGTATTTCAACTAATCTTTTAAGATTCTAGAATTATTGATCGGATAAAAACTTTAGTGAATATCCTTATTAACAATCGAAAAGAGACTTGAAATCAGAATTTTCCATAATTATATATATAAACATGCTTTGATTCGTTTAAATTTAATAAAGAACCATGTTTCTGATCGGCAATCATATGCGCAAGTTGCGGATCAAGTAAACAAAGTCAACCAACTTGCTCTTAGTCAATCAACTAATTTCTTCGTATCCTGAGTTAGTTTTTTTTGTCCCTGTAGTTTCAGTTTACTTCCTTGAAGGACAATGATTTTAAACCCTATTTCGATCCTTATTGTTTTGTAATATTACTGTATTAGTCCTTTGACTCAATAAAAGTTAGCTGACTCTTAAAATTTTATTAAACGTTGATATAAGAGTGTATTTAAAAAAAAAAAAAAAAGTGTAATAAAATTATATATATTTACTAATAACAAAAAAATACACATTACACATTTGAAAATCAAAATTATTAATTATACAAATACGATGAATTTGTAGTCTACAATGTTTTTATTTAATTTGAGTTTAAATTTGTAATGTGTAAGTGTTTATTTAACATTTTTTTTTCTAAATGGGGTATTTTTGTCAATTCATTGTAAATTTAACAATCAACTAAGATAAAAAACTTTAGTATTTGAAACTATTATTCCTAAACAGTAGTACATTTAAAGTACAGGGACTACAACAGAATTGACCCTTCATATCTGCTTCTTCTTTGTCTTCTTTATCTTAAGAGAAAAACAAAATAATGGTAAGTTTGAAATAATCTGTTGAATTTAATTTATCAAGTTTTTTATTGTAATTCTAACTTAATTATATTGGTGTGCTAACCGTGTTAGTTAAGATGTTAAAAGATTGCCGCGTGGGTCACAGCTTCCTTCAAATATATATTTCCCCCAAACTTTGATGGAAGAAGAATATACACGCCCTTTTTTTTAATCATTGGAATGTTCATATCAGTTTACACACACTTTAATTAATTCTTGAGATTTTTTTTTTTTTTTTTTTAATCAACGGAGTGTATGTTCTATGTAAGCAACAAATGATTAACCTTAGAGTTTATTGAATATCCTACAAGCCTAATATTCTACGTAAGTCATAAATTAAATTCATCGAGGTGTTCAAGTCAGCTTACATGCACCTTGACTAATTCAAGGATCTATTGAATACTCTACAAGTTTAATGTTCTAGGTAAGTTACAAATGATTAATCCTCAGAGTCAATTGAACACCCTATAAATTTAATGTTCTAGGTAAGTCATAAATTAAATTTGTGATAGATGATCCTAAGACTTGAACCCAGAAAATCAAGGAAGAGAGTAAACCTGACATACATAATTTTATTGTTCATTTTATGATTAAATGAAAAGAGAGTTATTTCTGTGATAACAAGGCAGACAAATTTAATTTATATTTCCAATATTAAAATGTAGTATAGTAACGAAAGTTATAGACCAATCTTCTTGTATTCTTCTACCGCAGCGTACAAGATTGGCGTGTAAAATCGCCGGCAGGCTATGTATCTTCTGCAGAAACTTCGTTGCAGAAATGTCATTCCAATTCCTATTCTAAATGATAATCCCATTGAGTTTTCTTTCGGGCGTGCTATTGTTGACATTACTGTCAAATTTCTTTAATATTTCCGGTTTCAAAAACTCAACTACCACTCCATACAACTTGACATTTTCATTCTTCGGATGAAGGATGTATATGTGTATATATATATATATATATATAAAGAATAAAACCAGAATACGATGTGGAATTTGGAACGGGTCCAAAAGTCAATGGGGGAAACCAAAGCACTCTATTGAAGAAGCTGAAGCGCAATTTCCTGAACAAAACTTAAAAAATATATATGTGAATAAAGAGAGAAACACAGGCATCAATCATCTCTCTTTCTGTGCTTTCCTCAACTTCTTCTTCTTCAGATCTCTCTGCCAACATATAACAAACTGAGACTGCTTCAGTTGAAAAATATATATGGGCACACGCAGGTCAAATAAAATCTTGATCTTGCTGTCAGTTTTCGTACTTTTCATTTGCAGCACAGAGGCAGCATCCTTTCAACCAGTCAAGTTTTCCAACTTTACTTCTAATACGGATTCGAAGTACTTCAAGCTTGACGGGGATCGGACTAGTATCGATGGTGGAGCTCTTCAGTTAACGTATGATTCCATCAACAATGGGGAGTCTGATAATTTCTTCAACAACTCGGGTCGCATCATGTATTATCAGCCTTTCAGGATCCACAATGGTGATGATGGAGGTGAAATGTTGGCTTCCTTCACCTCAACTTTTGTCATTAATCTCTTTCGGCAACCAGAGTGGGAGCCTGGTCATGGCCTTGCTTTTCTCATAGCCCCCAATTACAGCTTACCCGGATCAAGTTATGGTCGTTGGCTTGGCCTCACTAATAGTTCCACAGATGGCAGCAGTGAAAACTATTTTGTAGCCATTGAATTTGATACTAGAAAGCAGGAATTCGACCCGGATGGAAATCATCTTGGTCTCAACATCAACTCTGTCATATCAAACAAGTCTGTTCCTCTCGATCCCTATAACATCACTCTATCTCCAAACGATACAAGTAACTATAGGGTCTGGGTCCAATATGATGGAGCATCCAAATTGCTGCAAGTGTACATGTTGAAGGTGCCAGATGTAGACTTTGATCTCCCCAAACCATCCGAACCACTTCTCAACGCGACCATAAACCTGAAGGAATATTTGAAAGCAGAGTCCTACTTTGGTTTTTCTGCTTCAACAGGTGATCCATACATTCAGTTGAACTGTGTACGAGCATGGACATTAGACATAGATGTTGTTCCCAAGAAAAAAGATTGGAAATGGCTGATTATTACTGCCTGTGTTGGTGTTCCTGTGCTGATAATACTTTTAATGTGCATAGTGGTTTACATGAAGAAGGTAAGGAAGGCAAAAGTGGAAGAGTCCCATGAGTTTGGAAGATTGAAATGGTTGCCCGGAATGCCAAGGGAATTTAAGTACAAGGAATTAAAGAAGGCGACCAACAATTTTCATGAGAGTATGAGGCTTGGAGAAGGTGGATTTGGAATTGTTTACAAAGGCATCATTCATGAGAAGGATCATGATCAAAGTCCTACTGAAGTTGCAGTCAAGAAATTCTCCAGAGATAACATCAAAAGCAAAGGGGATTTTTTAGCTGAGCTCGCCATCATCCATCGTCTTCGCCATAAACATCTTGTCCGCTTAGTTGGTAATTTCCCTTGTCACTTTTCTTATGACTTTGTTTAATTAAATGTTTATATACACACACGACAACGATATAGAATTGAGAAGGAACAATTTGTCAGGTCTATTTATATATGATGTCATGTCTGTCAGTTTATTGATCAAGATTTGTCCCATTTAAATAAAGAATACCCAACATAGAAGCAACCTAAATAAAAACAATGACCACCATAGTTTTCAAAGTGCTCGATCTTATCCTGTGGGGAGGCTAGGCGAGCGTCAAACTTCAAAAGTTGAATGATGAAGCTATTCCCAAATGCTATGAATCATCTTGGCAGGTCAAGTCAAATTTAGCTCATCCACAAACCCAACATAACAAGATGGCTTCATCATTCATGAATGATTAAAAAAGGGCATAAAATATTGANAAACATCTTGTCCGCTTAGTTGGTAATTTCCCTTGTCACTTTTCTTATGACTTTGTTTAATTAAATGTTTATATACACACACGACAACGATATAGAATTGAAAAGTAACAATTTGTCAGGTCTATTTATATATGATGTCATGTCTGTCAGTTTATTGATCAAGATTTGTCCCATTTAAATAAAGAATACCCAACATAGAAGCAACCTAAATAAAAACAATGACCACCATAGTTTTCAAAGTGCTCGATCTTATCCTGTGGGGAGGCTAGGCGAGCGTCAAACTTCAAAAGTTGAATGATGAAGCTATTCCCAAATGCTATGAATCATCTTGGCAGGTCAAGTCAAATTTAGCTCATCCACAAACCCAACATAACAAGATGGCTTCATCATTCATGAATGATTAAAAAAGGGCATAAAATATTGATAGGAACTTTTCAAAGAAGATCGGCCTTTTTTTTTTTTTTTTTTTTGTATTTTGTATTTTTACTCCTGTACTACATAAAACTAGCACATACATGACAAATATAATCTCAAGTTTAGTAAGTTCATGTATGCTAACATTTTCTCCAACTTAACTGCTATCCAGGATGGTGCCACGAGAAAGGGAAGCTTCTATTAGTATACGATTTCATGCCAAATGGGAGTGTGGAGAAATACTTATACGGGAATTCCGAGCAGACAACGCTGACTTGGAGTCATAGATACAAAATACTAGCAGGGGTTTCATCAGCTTTATATTACCTGCACAATGAGTATGACCAAAAGGTGGTGCATCGTGACCTTAAGGCAAGCAACATCTTGCTTGATGTTGAGTACAATGCTCGGCTGGGTGATTTCGGTCTTGCTAGAGCCATCGAGAATGAGAGAAACTCCTATGCAGATGTGGGATTAGACGGAGTTCCAGGCACCAAGGGTTACGTGGCTCCGGAATGTTTCCATACAGGGAAGGCCACCACAGAATCTGATGTGTTTGGCTTTGGAGCAGTGGTGCTTGAGGTGGTGTGTGGCAGAATGCCGGGGGTCATGATCCCTGCCCAAGAAGTTTCTTATACCTTAGTTGATTGGGTCTGGATGTTGCACCGCGAAGGGCGCATTCTGGATGCTGTTGATAAACAGCTGAACAATGATTTTGTAGAAGATGAAGCCAGGAGGGCTTTACTTCTGGGATTGGCATGTTCACATCCCATAGCCGGTGAAAGACCTAAAACAGAGGATATATTGCAGATCATAACTGGAACTTTGCCAGTCCCTGATGTTCCTCCATTCAAGCCCTTCTTCACATGGCCTTCTATGGATCCTTCTTTCAGCATAAGTAGTATACTTACTGGCATCTCATTGTCTTCTAAAGATTCTAATACGATAAGTGATGTATCCCAATCACAGGAGGTTACACCTCGTCTCCCAGTTTGAATCTTTCAAGCTTCTCCAGCTGTGTAGCATGCTTTTGCTAGAACTATGCTTGTAGTATTTGTAATAGAGGAGAATTCTTCTGTAATTTGCTGAGGAATTCCAGGAATTAATCTAATGTATCTATTTTCAAACAGTTGGTTTACATCCCCTTTTTAGACAGGAAATCATTGTCTACTATGCCAGAGCAGGGAAACAAATATTATGGATGAGATTAAGAACTAATAGCAGATTTCTCTATCACAGACGAAATTCCCTTTGCTATCTTATGGTTGATTTCATTGACCAAATTATAGAGGGATAATACAGTCATCTGAGTACCAAATTACTCCATAATGACAAAGATATTACAAAGCTTGAATGCATCTGGAACTAGTTTGTTCTGATGGTTTCTTTCAAGAATGTTGAGTTGAAAACTGAATCATTCTTGCAGAGAACAGCATTGACAGGTTATGAAAGACATGCTTACGTCCCTGTCTTGCTGAATCATTTGTTCTATTTATACCTTTTTTTGAGGAATACATCATGATCACAAGTTGATACTCAAAAAATAACAACTACTATTTAATTTCTAAAATTTTATGGCATAATATCGAACTTAATGCTTGAATGTTTATTAGGCTAATCTATCTTATAAGCTAATAGGAAAGTGAGGAACTAAACCTTGTTGGTAAGCCATTTTTTGTAATGATCACTTGTAAAGGTCGACATAAAATAACCATCTTTCATCTCGTTCATATTACGACGGAGTTTCAAACTAGTGCTTAAAATCCTAGTGGAAAGCATTATTCTCTCAGAGATGAGACAACCACCTCTGCGAAGTATGTTTCACCAGATTTAATAGACATTAAAAAATAAGTTTCTGAGCTTTGCTAATCAGAAATTCTTCTGTAAGTGTCAACAAGAACAGGAAATTAAAGTAGGCCTACTGATAAATTACCCTCTTTGTACATAATCCACAGACACAATCTCTGTGAACAATGGACATTGAGCAGGAAAACTTTATATTTGCATGCATACTATAGGTATGGCATAGGCTAGTGCAAAATTATTCAGAACTTGATAATATGCCAGAGAGGATCCTAGACAACTAAGAAATGGTCACAAGGAAGCTACAAACATTTAACTTCTTTAAGCAAAAGATTTCCACCAAGTAAAACATTCAATGAATTGGAACTATACAAGGACACGGTTTGGTCTAGTAAATAGCAGTGAAGTTCAAAATGTCTTACTGTTATAGCAAGTACCAAGTACACCTAGTCAACTTAAGAAAATTTTTTGGCCATGCGCAAATAAAGATCTTCATTTTGGAAGCTGAGATATTGTATGCAAAATCGTGGATATTGGGAACCACTGGACACGCGTAAAGCAACTGCAACAAGTAAAAAAGTCAAAGAGGTATAAATGAACCCAAAACTCTTATTGAAGAAGATAGATTCTTCTATAAAAATTGATCGTACAATAGCACTAACCAAGTAAGCCCTAAGATTCTTAGATCCTAAAAAAGATCTAAAAGCAGCCATATCTACAATGTTGTATACATGGGTAATATTAGTACTTGAATCCACCACTGAAAACCTAAAAATCACCAACTCTCTTAAATGTACAAGAATTTTCTTTTATTGAAAGCAAAGATAACCCAGAACCTAAAGTCTAAGTTATACAAATATGAGCATTTAGTGTAGAACACTACTAATGAATAAGTAGATTGCTATGGATACCTGAGTAACAAAACTTTATTTCTCATTAATCCACACAGAAAAATATAAAAGTCGAAATATTTGAGAAACCAATGGAAAATATCTAATGAAAGGTTGGTTGAAGTAAACTAGAGGTTGCCAAAAAATAAAGATAAAGGATGTGACTTTAATACCTTAAGCAATTAAACCAAACTTTATTTGGAACTTCTTTGCATTACAGTTCAGCATTTCACTCAAGCTACAATCTACATTCTTTTGTTTCAAAAGCTTGTGTCGCAGCTCAAGACTCTTCTTCAAGCCATGCCTAAAGAAGTCAGGACAATCAGCAACTTCATCAATTTGCCGTCCCATAACCTCCACCAAAAACTTGATCCTGGGTTCTAAAGAATTCTTGATGCTCTTGATAAGAATGGGGGGATAAGCAGTCACCAAAGCCGCTATCTGTCCATCTTCAAACCCACATCTCTTTAAATAATTAAAATTGGGTCTCAAAATCTTGTTCACATCTCTGCACAAAACTTCAGGGAATTTCACTGCTACCATTTGAAGATCTAGCTCCTTCAGTCCTACCGATTTCAAAAACTCTGAAGTAGGTCGAAGCCTATTATCAACGCTATAACCCATCATAAATGGATGTTTCACGAGGACTTTACCAATCATTCCATCTTTGGCAAGGCCAAGACTAGCTAGAAAGTCCACATTTTCTTTGAGCTTAGATTCAATGCTGTAGCTGATGAGCCTCGGATTGAGCAGTATCATTCTTCCAAGTTGCTTTTCAGGGACTCCCAGAGCCTGAAAGAAAGCTAAAAGTGGACAGAGCTTCTCTTCGACACTATGGGAGAGTATATGAGGGAATTTGGTTATGGCAGAAGCAACTTCACGGGGTTTTGTTCCTAGCGTAGTGAGGCACTCAACCATGGGTACAAGCTTCTCATTGAGACCCAGAGTAAGGATTTTGGGGCACTTAGAAACAACGTGAGGGAGCTTTCTCTCTAGAATACCAATGCTTTTCAAGTAAGCCCAGTTCTCAGAGGCTCTTTCTCTTTCAACACCCTGCAGACGCTTGCACCTTTTGAACATATCATTGATGGTTTTATCATCAAAACCCCTATCCCTGAAGAACCACATGATGCTACTACCATTTTGACTGGTGCTGATCTCCATATCTCCTGAGTGAAAAACATATCAAGCTCAAGCTACACCCATAAGTTCTCTGTTTTTTTTTTTTTTTTTCCCATTTCTTGTTAAAACTTAAAACATAAATATACAAGTTGATGAATGTGCATACTATTTGGGTAAATATATCAATAGTAGAGAAAAAAAAAACATCAACTCAGTAATGCAATAAACTGTTCTACTCCATAAATCATCATAAAAAGGTACTGGTTAATGCTCAGTTAAAAATGAAGCTTTGTTAATCCAGTTTCTTTTCTAGTACCAAAGCAACTAGTATGAAAGGATGACAAAAGAACAAACTTTGGTAGATTTTTCTCAGGAAAAACACATACTTTACAGCAATTACTACGAAGACAAGTAGAATTGAAGCAGAAAATCAAATACAAGGATAGGAAAAAAAAGAAGAAAAAAAAAGCCATATTCAAAAATTAGAAAGCACAGACATGTAATCATGATAAACGAAAATCTAGAAAAGAAAAAGGTGAATTACCTGAAGTACTAAAAGGGTTTCTAGTTGGGCATTGAATGTTGAACTTAGCAGCTGCCTCTCATTCTTTTGTGTAGTCAGAACCGAGCAGCGAAGTGTATGTAAATTTTAAAATGAAATCCAAAACCAGAAGCCTTATCTAATGTCTGTTACTTTGATTTTTATCTTACCTCATTTGCCCTTATGATATCTACCTGAAATGACTGATGTGCCCTCCACATATGTAGTCAAAACCCTAACTTCCTCCTCTCCCGGTGTGAGTCTCCCCGACCCCAAAACTGTTGAATTCATTGTAGGATTGAAAACAAAACAGAAGATGATGCCATCATCTAAAGGTCGGATTTTTTTTAAGTTTTTAGGCAAGTCGGAGCTCTATGAGTCTACTACAACAACTATACTACGCCGTTTTTCTTCCTTGAGAGATTTCAATGCTAATAATGGTGAAGATGATGATGGTAGATACAGCAACAACTATCAGAACCCTCCCGAACCAATACCCAATAGGCCTTTGAGGGGAGGGAGATCATTTAATCATCATAATCCGCCTCAAAACTCTTCTCACACTCACTTCAATAACACTAACAGAGCTCGCCCTCAACCATCCAAGGTTGCCGATGATGTTCAATCAAACGAGAATTTCTTAGAAAAATTCAAACTTTCTGTTGAGAAGAAGGCAGAAAAGCCCTCACAAAATGATGCACCAACAGCAACACAACACAAGAATGATCCTCCCCAAGACGCGGACGAGATCTTCAAGAAAATGAAGGAAACGGGTCTCATTCCAAATGCTGTTGCTATGCTTGATGGACTCTGCAAAGACGGTCTTGTCCAGGAAGCAATGAAACTGTTTGGTTTGTTGCGCGAAACAGGTACCATTCCTGAAGTTGTTATTTACACTGCTGTTGTTGATGGCTTTTGCAAGGCTCATAAATTAGATGATGCAAAGAGGATTTTTAGGAAAATGCAGACCAATGGCATCTCTCCAAATGCCTTCAGTTATGGTGTGTTAATTCAAGGTTTATGTAATGCTAACGAGTTAGAAGATGCTATTGACTATTGTATTGAAATGTTAGAAGCTGGTCATTCTCCGAATGTTACAACTTTTGTTGGATTAGTTGACGGGTTGTGTAGGGAGAAAGGTGTTGAAGAAGCTCAGAGTGCTATTGAAACATTGAGACAGAAGGGATTTCTTGTTAATGATAAAGCTGTTAGAGAATACTTGGACAAAAAAGCTCCTTTTTCATCATCAGTTTGGGAAGTAATCTTTGGGAAGAAATCCTCTGAGAAACCATTTTAATTTTTTTCTTTTTCTTTTTTGTAAGTTATTCAATGATGCCCTTTCATTGATTATGTGGCCTTATTGTTTTATCATATGAGAAGATGTGAAAAGAATATTTAATTTCATCAATGGAAGTTCTCCTTTTAACTTGTGTTTGCCATAATACTTTTGCTTCATTCTCTTGCTTAAATAAATGTGTCGGTCATGTGTTTCTGGTAAGTGATCACAGGCGGTACAGTCGGGAAATGTTAGTGTAGTAATACAGAAACTAGTGCCGTAACTACAGAGCACTCTGTTCTGCATTGTTCTATTTCTGTCATGTAAAGTTAGATAGCTTATATGGACTTGAAATGGAGAAGTAAAAATATTGTTTTCTGTAATAAACTGTATAATAAATTAATTTTGGTGTGAAAAATGAATGAAAAACCAGATTGCAGACTCATCTTCTGCTGTCCTCTCTGTTTAGCACTGTTCAGCTGCCCTTCTTTTTCAAAATCAGATTATCATTCAATTTATGCTGCCAAAGTATGTATGTATAATAACAATTAGAATTATATCCTCTCAGTTCTCGCTTCTAACAATAAGCATGATCAATTAGGACATCTTCATATTACTGTAATTCATAGTTTTGTTAAGTTTATTAGATTGAGGTTGAATATTTCACCCTAGAAATGTAACGGCACTAGTATTTATTGTAGCTCTTCCACTTTGGAGCAAGGATTCATGTCATGCTAGTATTCGTGACAAAGTTGTTACTGCAGTTGAGCATATTTTGAAGGCAGAAGAGCTAAAGGAGACCATTATCGTATATGACAATTTGAGAATGTGATGTGCAAACTGAACTGATAAGATTATGTCAAATGTATCTTCTGCCTATACTTTTTCTACTTGCATTTTCATTTTAGTCCATATTCAACAGGATTGATAAATTGAAATTTTTATTAGCTGATGCTATACTGGTTCTGAGATGCCTTATTTTAAACTATATGGGACTTATGTCTTACTTCATATAAAAGCCCAGTTAAGAGAGAGTTTTATTTTCTTCCAGGGCACGTCTTTTATTCTAATCTCTTCAATTTAAGGCCATGTCAATGCTTTCTTTTCTGTGCTTTCAGCTGTTCTCTCCAAGTAATCTCACAATTGATTATCAGGAAAATAATGCCTTTGACAAATGTATATCATTCACGACACAGAAAACATACATTAAATTAACTGCAATGTATAGAAAGGTTGTCTGCTTTTGTTTTTATTCTCTCTCCTGAAGAACACAACAACTAAGTAGAAGATCAACCTGGTATACAAACTAAAGCAGGACATATATCGAGAAAGCACTAGTTAGGGAAGATAGTTCAATCTGAAGATTTGAATTGGTGGATTCAATGCCGTGTCATTGGGCAGGGCCTTACGAGCTATCTCAATTGTTAAACACTGATTCAATTCAATTAATACCTTATTCATGGTTGTAAGTTGAAGTCATAGCTAATTCTATAGCTTTTCTGTCGGAGTCCATGTCGAAGTCCCCTGTAATCTTGGATCAACAATATTTCTAATATCCTCCTTTGTAAACAGGACACCCATTTACTTATATGAGTCCATTCAGGACTACTTTTTATCAATAACAGGTTTGTATGTGATTATCTCCAAAAGAACCACTCCAAAGCTATACACATCACTTTATTTGGTTAATTTTTTTGATGTAGAATACATGCCCTCACTTTGGTAATTCCCGATATCTAGATCATGAATCTAACCTTTTTTTTTTTTTCTGGTAATTGCTGCGCAATTTAAGGTTCTAAGGTGAAATTATTAGACAAGGATTTCATCAAACTAATTTGTGAAATCATGTGCATTCCATATGGTGGTCGGTCATTGTTTAATTATAGTGAGCTAGCCTAAGATGAACGGAGAGAGACTAATTTAAATTAAATGTTGAGCACAACACAACTCACCAATAAAATTCCCAACCCCCTATAAGATCTTTGTGTGATTTGGTCGGCCTGATTGTTTACGCTGGTCAAACCAAAGGCAGAGAGAATTGTGCAAAGTGATCGCTTTTATAATAATATTTGAATCCATGGTTGCTGATTTAATATTGTGACAAACACACGCAAATGCTTTAGCGTGAGCGTGTTATTTGTCTTCGCCCATTGGCACTGCAGTGTGCAACTGTAAGTGTTTGCAATTGCAGTCAGCTCATCCAAAATTCTGCTTCTTCTGTAAGATTTTTTTTTTTTTTTTTTTGGCATATACTCAATTAATCTTTAGAGTTCTGAAATTAACGACTAGATAAATCTCCAGTGATTACCTTTATTAGGGGTTGAAATGAATCAAATTTAGGACCTCTCGAATAATATACTCAAGAATTTTAGTTGATCATTCAATCATCTAATAGTAGTTAGTAAGATCTTACATTGAATGCACATAAATTTTTCAGATTAAAATGTCTTCTTGTGAGGCAAAAGTTTAATTAGATTGATTTGAGTTTTTTGCAAAAACTTGATTTGGTCGTTTGAGTGGTAAATGAGGCATTAGAACTCGTGGAGACCATATGGACGGACCTCAGAAGGGGCGAGTGGGGGCTTACAACCCTACTCAATTTTTTATTTATTGATTTCCTTTATATTTGTCTTTTTTTCTTTTTTCTAAATTGATATAATATAAGAAGATGAGTATATTATTATTTAAATATATTGTATATGTATTTATCATTTAGAAGTCAACTAAAAGGTAAAACTTAGAAATAATATTTCTTGCCCTCTCTAATATTATTTTTATCACAAATTTTATATTATTTATTTTAAATTTGTCCACTCTGATATTAAACCTAAATCTGTCCCTGTTAATGAACTCTACATATAACACAAGTGGTATGAGTTAATGATTTTTTCCCATCTAAATAATAGTTTAATGACATTTTTCCACATAGAGATTTTTAAAATATCATTTTATTACTCATATTTATATTCTTACGATGAACATAGAACAAACTTGATCCAAATTATTAGGGCTTTTGAAGAGAGGAGGCCGATGAGTCTTTTGATAGTTGAAATTGATTAGAACTTGACTTTGGAGAGGTGACTGCGTAAACCCTAATCTCTCGATTACTAGTGATTGACGAGATCGACAAGAATAGAGTTTCAAGGGTTCCGGTAAGTGATGATTGGAGAAGAAAATTGTGGTGATAACGGGTCGCAACAATACCGAAATCAGGAACCGAATATAAATTTAGATAACAAAATAGTATTTTAAATGTATGTGGATGAGAAAGTGTTATTTATGATGGGTGGAAAAAAGTCGTTGACTACAAGAGGTATGCTGATGATGAATTCATATTCAATCAATCATGGTTTTTGTTAATTTTTTTTTTTTTTTAGTGATGTTTATTTATAATATATGGAAAGGCATGCTGAAGGAGGTAGTGTGAGGAATAAACAAGAAGAATTGGGTTAATTAGGAACAGGTGGTGTCCTCATCGAGAATAAAATAAGAGAAGACTGAGAGGATGTGGGGTCGGCGCCGGCCCTGCTTCTCCGCCGAATTCAAAGTTCGATAACGACCCAACACTTAATAAAACACGACTTAGTATCTTTCAAACCATTTTTAATTCTCAAATATCCTCCAAAAGTCTAAAACCTTTCAGCAAAAAAGAAGAGGTTAACAAATACTATAAAATGGTTTGACCCTCAACCCTATTTTCCTATATAAACAAACAACAACCGCTGCAACAACCTCGTCTTCCTCTCTAGTTTCTACTGATTCAGCTCAAAACAAAACACAAAACCAGAGAAAAAATGATTTTTTTAGTGTATTCAGAGTCACGCTTGTGCATGGCCAGCATCGTTTCTACACTTCTATTACCATCCCGTTACTTCACTGACGAAGGGTCTTCACAGAATACTGGCTTTTATGTTTTTCAAGAATGCGGACGATGATCAGAGCTCTATCGAGGAGCTTGCGCCCTATCTTTCAGTAAGTAATTTGAAGAACTGGGAGGACGGAGGAGGGAATGTGCTCCATTTGCTTGATAAGTTCCAGAAGGCATGCAGGAGCAGACTATGTAGATGTGCCACGTCTTCCACATGGATTGCATGGAAAGATGGCTGGATTGCTGTCAGTTTACCTGTCCCACTCGGCAGAGCCTTCGTCCCATGAATGTTAAATCTTCCCAGCCAAATAATGCCATTTCCATTAGACTCCTGTAAAGTTTTGGTTGTAATTTTTGCAAAGAAATGAAACAGTTTAGTTTAATTGTTGTATATGAGTATGATTTTGATACTGTGTTTGCTATATTCTGGCTTTTGATAATGGAAGATAATTGAAGTGCGCGAAGTCAAGCGGCGGGAGCATTAGAATAAGGAATCTAATGGTTCTGGGATTGCGGCTTTGATATGTCAAATGTTTTAAGAGTTTGACATGTGACATTTGCCTGCCGCCGCCGACCACGCCGTTTCTTAATTTCTTATTACTATTATTATTCAAATGAAATCTCACTTCACGGCCGTTCCAGTATGACTAAACACAAGAGTTTTCCCCAAGAAAAAAAAAAAAAAAAAACAGTTAGAATTCTGCAACCGATTATGGTGAAATCCTTAACAGAAGTTTTTTTTTTTTTTAATAAAGCTGTGGATTCTGTAGAAAACCATTGAAGAATTGCTGAGATTCCATTCCATTCCGAACAGCCGAAACAATTGAACAGGTCGATGTCGCGACTGGTTTGTAATTAACAACCCATAAAGTCATATTGGGCTTAGATTTAAGAGTCTAAATAACGAATAAATAACAATTGGCCTGGGCCGCCTT